TGTGTGTGTGTGTGTGTGTGTGTGTGTGTGTGTGTGTGTGTGTGTGTGAAGGCTGACAACTGCTTAGCACTTGAGATATCTGTAAATTGAATGGGTTCTCTGCAGAAGCATTATGGCATAAATGGACTTGGTCAGATGGGGTGGGACAGACTACGTGTTCTGGCTTGGTGGATTTCATGTATTCTCTGTGTGACTGCTAGACCCAGGGGCTTAGCAGGGGCAAGAGCAGGCAACCTGACCTGCACACCCTGCCTTTCTTTTGGGCTGCCCCTCTGTGGTTACAGGAGAATGCCAAAATCACCATGATTAGAACTGAGATGTCATCACAACAGGAATATCTTTGGGAACTTTTTTCCCCCTCCAAGACACTTTAATTAAATTCCCATCATGAAAACAATTAGGCAAGATTTGCCATACCTAACCGGTCAATAACTCAAGGATAGGATCTCATTAAGAGCTTTCGCTTTCCTGGAAACTGCCATTTTGAGGATTCAGAGCTGGTCGCTGCGTGCTCTGGGAATTAATTTATCCATATTTCCTCTGAGCTTTTTTTTTTTTTTAATTTTCCCAAATCCAGAAGGAAACACATTTTTAAATGACCTAAAAGTAGGAGACGGATTGTACACACTGCCATTCACTTTCACAAAGGTGTTCCTAAGTTTGAGGTGTTCTTTCCCTGTCATGATTCCATTGTCTTCTGTGTTGACTTACGCCTGCCTGTGGACAAAGCAATAGATGTGGCCTGGATACAGGCACCGCGTGAGTGAGTGAGCCTCCTCTTTTAACATAATTTTCTAGATACTGTGGTGTCTTCTCTCTTAGCCAGGTGAAGGCTGCCCCTTACTGATGTCAGCAGGTAGAAATCTTGAGATACTTGATTCAATTTCCCTGACAAAAGTATTGAGATGAACTATAAATTGGCCTATTTTTTTTGCTTCCTTCTCTTCTGCACCCACTTTCCTTCTGTCCGTGCTTTTGTTCCTAATGCGCTATTGATCTTCCACCAGGGGCTAGCCATTGAAGTTGCCATTGAGGCAATAAAAAATGTACAAATAGAACTATCTAGAAAAACCGTTGACATCATCTAGTAAAGACAGACCCAGAAATTCAGCTGTTAGGTAGTCTAGAGGCACTTGTGTACATATGTACCTGGATGCATTATAAAATGTTCATCTTCAGTAGAATGGACAAATAATTGCGAGTATTTTCAAACAGCAGAACACTATGCAGCCATGAAAATGAACAAACGACAGCTACATGCAATAATATGGATGAATCTCAAGTGAGCATGCAGGGTTTATTGTCTGTGACTTAGTGAACAGCCAGCGACTAGATCAGCATGTGTTTAGGAAACTGGCTTTGGGCAGTGTGGTTTATAAAGAGTCCACGCTGGAGACAGAGATCCCCCTGAGAGGCAGTTGTGGTCCTGGAAAGAGAAAATTGCTATGCTAACCCCTGGCATTCCCAGTAGCAGGGGAGAGAATGACACAGACTGTTGAGAGACGTTAGAAGAAAAATAAGTACAGTCTGGTGACTGATTAAATGCTTGGGTTGATTAGAAAGGGAGTTTACTTCCATGTCGCTGAGGCCTCTAATATCATAGACTAGGAGGATGATGGTGTCTTTAACGGATGTAGGAGCAGGCCTGGGGTTTTGAAGCAATGGGTACTGAATCTACATGCAACCAAGCTACATGATCTTGAACAAGTTATTTATCTTCTCTTTACACAATTTCCTCACATATAAAATAGAGAAAATGTTTTAAGAGTAACAACCTCAGGGACGCCTGGGTGGCTCAGTCGGTTAAGCATCCAACTTGGGCTCAGGTCTTGATCTCATGGTTTGTGGGTTTGAGCCCCGTGTTGGGCTCTGTGATGACAGCTCAAAGCCTGGAACCTGCTTCGGATTCTGTGTCTCTCTCATTCTCTGCCCCTCCCCTGCTCACACTCTGTCTCTCAAAAAATAAAATAAACATTAAAAAATTAAAAAAAAAAGTAACAACCTCAGAAGATAATATAGTGTCTGATACATAATACACTCTATTATATGGTTTTTGAAGAGTAAAAGTGACCCTGGATATATAACATCGTGTGATGCAATCCTTTCTTTAGACCTAACAGAGATAAAAGATAGATGTAGGAAAACTTGAATCATCTTTATGTCTCTTGAGTGAAACAAACACTACAAGTTTGGGGCAGTAGAAAATCTTAGAACAAAAGGCACAAAAACCAGAGGTTATATAGTGTTGGAAAGGGAAAGCCAAGGAGGTGACTTAATGAGATTTTAAGTGAATGGTAAGTCAGAAGTTAGCATGTACTTTTGCTGAGAATGGTTCTTGGGAGCACAGAGCCTTTATAAGAATAACTTTTTGTTTATATATAAATGATTTTCAAGTCCTTACTTTTTGGGTGATTGCCAAGTAGTATATATTATAGAAAATTAGTAAAAAGAACATAAGGAGATAACACCCATGATTCTAATGTCCAGAGATTCTTTTCATATTTCAGCTCTGTCCATTCATCTTTCTATTCATCCATCTTTTTTTCTTTCTCCTTCTCCTTCTTCTTTTTAAAGAGCTGAAATTAATCTGTATATTGTTGTATAACCTGCTGTGTTTTGCACAGGAGCTTTAAAGAAGGCTTATCTAGCATGAGGGATTTAGGTTAGCTATGTGTAGTAGGAAGAAAATGTCTGATGTGCTTTGTCAATGAATTATTGAGGGAAAGTGGAATATTTCCTTCTCTGGCAGTCTTAAAATATACTAGGATAAACTCTCATTTCAGTGATGGTAGGGCATGACCCTGCTTTACTGCCCTGTTATTCTTTGATATGTGGGCAAACCATGAGAGTGCTTTTCTGCACACTTCCATCTCCCAAAAGTAGCAGAAAGAAATACTGGTTAGAATATGATGTAAGAGAGACTTTTATTAATCCCTTACCTACACTTGCCTGGAGGACTGAAGAGTTTATCTCTCCCAAGAGTGTAAGACTGCTCAACTTTTCATTTTTAAATATTAAAATCACTGTAAAATTCTACTCTGACTAATCTAGAATAAAGACAGGAAAGATTAGTGTCACTAGGATGTAGTTTTACATGAACAAATCATTTTAAATAGGCTTAAATTTAAGAGGTGGAGGCTGCTTTGCCTAGACAGACTATTTGCCTAGACTGTTTATGTCACATTGGCTAGGATAGCTCTGTGTGTGTGTGTGTGTGTGTGTGTGTGTGTGTGTGTGTGTGTCTGTGTGTGTATGGGAGGGAGGGAGGGAGAGAGAGAAAGAGGAATCTGAAGGCTTCTTTTTACTGATTGCACGATTTGCATGTAGAGGCTACCGCTACTAGAGAATTAGACAGAAGGTCTAATAAGAGTTATGATAACTTTGATGTGGCTCTTCTTGACTTTATACTCACCTGCAAACTCTTAACTAGTTCTAGTGTTCTCCCAAAGGCAAGTTGGTCCATAGATTGGTAAGGTGGAACATCCTTGGGGGAGTGAGGGCCTGGGGGTAATTCTGCCATCTTTCTGATGTCACTCTCAAGTGTTCTCTGTTTTATGAAATAGAGATAATTTAATATTGGTAGAACTCTAAATAGCAGAGTGGCACACCTTATCTCAGCCCCCCTCCCCTCCAATCAAGGCTTAAAGAAGCCATCTTAGGCTTCTGACTTTCTAGTCTCTGTCTCTACTGTCTGTCTCGCTCCCTCTGTAGTAATAGTGGCTAACATTTAATGAAGGCTTGTTGTGTCTGAGGAACGGTTCATATTTACTTCTCAAGATAGTTGTGAATGAAAGATACTATGAATATTCCCATTTTTACATATGAGGAAACTGAGTTAAGAGAGTCTTAGTAATCTAACCAAAGTCCTACATCTGATAATTATCTCGGACTCAATTTTAAAAGGCCATTTTGCAGCATGAAATGAATATATATATTCATAATAATATATACATATATTTTAATTGGAATTAGTTAAGTTTATTGTGAGTCAAGAACAACATTTTATTTATGTATTAAAAATATTTTTTTTAAATGTGTATTTATTTCTGAGAGAGAGGGAGAGACAGAGCATGAACAGGGGAGGAGCAGAGAGATAGGGAGACAGAGTCAAAAGCAGGCTCCAGGCTCTGAGCCGTCAGCACAGAGCCCAACGTGGGGCTTGAACTCACAAGCCGTGAGATCATGACCAGAACTGAAGGCGGATACTTAACCGACTGAGCCACCCAGGCTCCCCAAGAAGAACAACATTTTAAAGATAGAGTACAGATCTCCTGACTATCACAATTTTATCATGGGATTATGTAGTTTTAGCTATGACTAGACATCCTATATTCTGCAGTAGTTACACTTAGAATAATGAAGCTATATATATTTTCTTTTTTCTCTTGGCTTAATTGGCATATAACATAGTGTAAGGTGTACAACATAATTTTATATATGTATGTATTGCAAAATGATTACCATAATACGCACCCATCACCTCTCACACAATTATTTTTGTGTGTGATGAGAAAATTAAAATTTACTCTTTTAGCAACATGAAATATTCTTAACTTGAATAAAACAATTGCTTATATAAACTGTAAATCTCTTTTTAACAAAACTTTTGTTGTAACAGGCAGTTATTGAATTATTATGGATATTGTTTTGTGTTGACTTTAAATGGTAATGCTTTGGGAAATCTCTGTAGTTTAAATATCCAAATGTAGAATGACATCAATGATTTTTTTTTTTTTTTTTTTTTACAGGACAGAGTTCATTCAGAGAGGCAGAATTTCAATTACAGGGGCTGGCTTTCTCAACTGCATTTTGGAGACTTTTGCCAGCACATTCTTAAGACAGGGAGCCCAGAGGGTAAGCTTGTTTTTACTTTGAACCAATATTTATTTTAAGAAATCATGAAGATTCCCGTTGGGTTATTGAATAAGGCTCCTGAGCAGACACGATGAGAAAAAAATACAGTTTATAAACAAACAAATAAAAAATAAACAAATAGATGCAAAAATAAGTATCTTTGCTAATTATTGCATACATCCAAATCAAAGTAAAACTTAAATGCCATTTGTGACCCATTAAAATTAAAACTATGCCAGTAAAGAATATGTAATAATATGGAGAACTAAGAGATATAATCAGAATGAGTAATTACATTTTCAGTATATTCAGTATGATGACACCCATTTAGTGAAAAAGATAATAGCTAGTATTTATTGAGCACTTATTATGAACTACTCACTGTAAAAAGAATTTTTATTTATTATTTAATACAAACCTTTGAAGTAGCTATTTTTGTTGTTCTGTTATTATGGATGAAGAAGATACAGAGACCTTGAGTTCCTGGTTGTCACTTCTTGTGTTTTTCAAATTCTGTGGGAGTTTAGGATTCCATGAAGGTGATTTAGAGACCACCTTAGAGTCTAAGGTTGGTACCCTGTTTTAAATAGAGCTATTCTTGGGGCACCTGGGTAGCTCAGTTGGTTGTGCATCTGACTTTGGCTCATGTCATGATCTTGTGGTTTGTGAGTTCAAGCCCCGCATTGGGCTCTGTGCTGATAGCTGGGAGCCTGGAGCCTGCTTCGGATTCTGTGTCTCCCTCTCTCTCTGCCCCTCCCCCGGTTGTCTCTGTCTCTCTCTGTCTCTCAAAAATGAATAAATGTAAAAATAAAATAAAATAAATAAATAGAGCTATTCTATTTTTAGTCTGTCTTATATAGAGAAATTTATATGTCTCATTTTCTTGCCTTCACAGCATTATTTTCAAAATGTCTTTAAGGTAAAGTCTATTCCTTATGCATTATGATATGCTTATTACAGGTGTTCTGAAGTATTGAGAAATTATTATTTAATTTTTATTAACTTGTTTTATATATAATATTGTACTTTTAAATTGTTGTTGTTGTTATTGTGATAAAGGGCATAATCACTTACTTCCTGGATTTACTCAGGACATATGCTATGCATATGTTACCTTGTTTTGTCTTGTAGAATAATAGGTTTAATGGCTGGTCTGAAGGAATATTGTTGTGGCTCCAGAGATTATCTGGGTAACAAACCTTTGTTCTCGCTTTGCAGATCTAGGTTCAAGAATGAGCCTGGACCATGATGTGTTAGTCTGGGAGGCTGAGGATGATGAACGAGCGTTTGATACTGTACTGTACTCCATAAACATACTGTCAAGATTAATGGTGTATTCCTGTCTCAGAAATGCACATATCTAGACTGGCCCAGCCTGTTGAAGCTGGGCTTGAAGTGGATAGCTGGGCTTCTAGAAGGTCTGATATGACCTTACTCACACATGATTGGAAGTTTTTCTGCTATATTGCAAAGTATGCCTGTGTAAAAACCCACATGTTGTGCAAAATTGCACCGTGAAATTAATGGGTCTGATGACAGAAATAATTTCACTGCCATATCCCTGAGTATCATACACTTTTTTGATCAAGATTGAGAAAAATTTTCTGTAAAGAACCAGATAGTAAATATGTTAGGCTTTATGGGCCAAGAAGCAAACTGGAGATATTATGTTGGGGCTTTATTGCAAGAGAGAAACAAGTTTCCATAGTTTTTTTTTTTTATTTACAAAATTAAAAATATAATAATAGTTGAATTTTTTTTGTAATATAGTTCTTCGGATCAGAAAAACGGGATTCCATTTTGTGGGAGAACATAACGTTTAGCTAAATTGTGATTCAGAGTTAGTGTTCCCTACCATCAAATTGCAAATGTTCACTTGTGAAAACCATTCTTGTGGATCACACAAACACTGGTGGTGGACTGGATTTGGCCTGTGGGCTATATAGTTTGCTTTAGATAAATAAATAGTCCTTGATTAATTCAGATGGGTTTATGTTCGACCTGTCCATCAATCTGAACCTTGTAATGACTTTTAACCATACAGTGGTTGTGGATATTCTGATCCTGTGTGATGCATAAAGTGAACATTATTAGTCCCATTTTATCGATGAGAAATGTCTTGGAAGAGTTAAGTGCACCTAATATGTGGGTGGCTGCTTGTCTGCCTTTTTCTTACACGTATACGTGGAGCACCTGCTTTTTGCTAGGCTCTGTGGTAAGCATGGGCTTTTAAATGGATTTATTCAAGGTCATAAGGAGAGCAAAAGGTGGAGTCTGAACTCACATCCCCATGTTTTACAAGTCTTAAAACTTGTAAACAGTTGAGCCTTGCCACTTTACTCTGCAAGATTTTTCAGATAAACAAAGCAGATGGTTTGCCCACTCAGCACCTTTGCTGTGTATCAGATGCATTTGTGTGGTAGTCTTACTTTCTCTGTAGTTATTAGGACTCTTTGGTTATAAGTAATAGAAACTACTTTAGGCTAGCTCATTCATTGTAAGGGTACAAGGGCCGTGAGGCGGGCAGGCTTCAGAATGGTCTGCCCTGGGACTGAGAGATGCCAGGAACCCAGATACTATTCCTTCTTCAGCACTTGTCTATAAGAGTATGCATCTGTTGTATTCTCTTTCTTATCATGTGGGCCTCTATAGTCCAGGTGTACATCTTGTATAGAGTTTTGGCCAACCAAGAGACTGTCTGCTTATTTCATTCATTTCCAAATTCTTTGGAAGGGACTCTTGTTGGCATTTCATAGGTCAAGCGTAGCCGGGAGGGTAGACGTCAGGTTTTATGAATATGGCTCATCCCAGGTTGTGACCAGATTGGGTGGGAAGTCATGTCCCAGGGAAAAGGGTGGTGGGATGGGTAAATACTCCCAAGGGTTTCTGGCGTGATCTCACAGTAGATTGTATGTTCTTGATGGCAGAGAGGGGGTTTTATGAATCTTAATTCCAATTCCCCTCAACCCATCATAGCTTGGGCAGCGGTCCTACATTCATGTGGAAATGGGTAGAAAGGAGATAGAATGCACAGCTATATCTCATTTGGTTTCTGATGAGTATTATCTGGAAATCATCAAGTGGATTTAAATTTTTTGTTTATTTATTTACTTTGAAAGAGACCTGGGCAGGGGTAGACACAGAAAGAGAGAGAGACAGAGAGAGAGAATCTCAAGCAAGCTCCACACTTCTAGCTCAAAGCCCGATGCAGGGTTTGAACTCAAGAACTGTGAGATTATGACCCAAGCTGAAATCTAGAGTCAGATGCTTAACCAGCTGAGCCACGAGGCACCTGAAGTGACTTTAAATTTTTAAAGTGAGAAACCCAAGTAATTCCTGCGTATTCTTGCTTTTGCTCAGAAGTAAGAATATATTTTTCCTGTGAGTTTTTGCCTTTTCTGGCTTTCCTCTTTTTTTTTTTTTTTTTAAGAGGTGTAATGGGTTAGTTTCAATCTTAGAAGCCACTTGTGCTAAATGGTCTTTTACCTTTTAGCCAAGTGGGGATGTTTTCCGGTATCAGCCTGACTTCCTGATAAACCTTCACAGTTGAGCCTGCATAAATGGCTTCTATGGAAGTCATCCTGAGAGTGTTTTAGGTGAGTTTATTTATGACTTTATTCTTGAGACTGTTTAGTGATGGTAAAGGTGGGATCTGATATCTATTTTTTTCTAGAAAAGGCAAAATGAGACGCTCGCAAATTCAGTATCTTTGTGTTTGTAAATTAAAAGCTGGCCCTAGATATGAACCCCCGAGGTGAGGTCACTTGTATTTCTGTGCCTCTGGTGGCTTGTGCAATTATTTTTCTCTCCTCCTTTCACTACTTTGAGGTGACATACAATTTGGGGGCCCTTCTAACACAAATGCTGACTTTTCATATACTGCTCGGACTTCCCTTTGTCTCTGAGAATGGAAGTATGTGGGCAGGAGAATGGAGATTGCCCCCTGGTAGCCAAGTCAAGAGCTATGCTTTTGAAATAGAAGCTGTTCTGAACTTATAGCCCATTAAAGCTCATCTTTGTAATGTGGCACAAATCACTTTATTCCCCTGGTCCTGTATGTACTTGTCAACAAGATGGAAACTTTAATGCATTCCCGAAGATAGGTGTGAAAACTATGTTTGAAAGCTTTCAGTAGATTGAAGAACACAGGTCAAATACATGTAAGGTGTTATTTTTGTTTTCAAGAATTAAAAAAAAAACCTACTCACATACTTCCTTTTCATACTTTCTTTTTATGGTTGCATGTTTGTTTGTTTTCCAAACCCATATGAACACCCAATAGATTTTAAACTCAGAAGTGTAGTTCCACAAACAGTTTGAGTATCACCTATGTGCCAGGCATTGGGTAAGGTGCTGGAGACACAAGCAGGAATGAAACAATTCATAAGAGTGGATGCTGTGCCTTATACAGCTTTACTTCACAGATTCTAGCTCAGGGTGGAAGGCCTGACAGGCAACGAATAAACATCTGCTGATGGTGAGAATTATTGAACCCCATGTGGTGGTCAGTGCTCAGCACTATGATCATTGTTGGGAAGGATTTTCAAATAACAACTGGTACTTACAAGAGCTTACTTGATGTCATGCCCTACGCATGGCACATATTACCTTAATTACTTTTCTAAACGAGTCTATGACATAGGAACTCTTCTTCCTCTTTCATTCATGGGGAAACTGAGGTCCCAAATGACAAAGCAGTTTTCTCAAGGTCACAGAATTAGTGGGTGGTGAACTTGGGATTTGAACCCAAACCTCTCTGACTCCAGAGTGTACTGTTAATGAATACCACACTGCCACATCCACGCACTCTGCCCTCAAGCAGCCACTTGTGTGGGGCCAGATGTGGTGTGCTCGATAGAGCCAGAGCAAGGAGTTGTGGGGTTTACAGTAAGGATGGAGGAATGCAGAAGCACGGAACTCAGTTGCCGTGGAAGGACTTGGAATGGACTAGAGGGACGAGGGGCCATGATGTTGGTAGTTGAAAAGGTCTTGAATGGCTC